ACGGTGCTTGGAAGAGGGCAAAGACCGGAGGGGTGGGATGGCTCTGGGTCCTTGAGGTGGGAAAGGGATCCCGCCAGCACCGCTGCAAGACTGCTTCTTCAGGGAAATACACTTCATGTGGGGCAACCAAACAGATCACAGGGGTCAGATACCTTTGAACTTGGAGACTCAACATCTTAAGGAGCCAGGGGTAGCCCCAGTGCAGTTCTCCTGAAGCCGGAGAGCAGCCACAGTAGCCCCTGCCATGCTTGTAGGGCTGATGCCCAACCATGAGGAAGCACCAATGTCCTCCAGGGACTCAGCGAGGGGAAAGAGAAACTGCCCACATCCATCTAAACACATGCAAGGTTGTCCAGTCGTGAGAGACCCAACACGGGTGACCTCTAGGACCACTGGGACATTTAGGGACAAGTGGGCTGTCCCTGGGAACTTGATCATGGGTCGGTCTGGCCTCCCCTTTCAGCTCTCTGGGAATTTTCTGTTGACATCCATCACCCTGGTGGCAGCCCATGGAACCCTTCACTTGAACCAGTGGCTCTTGGGAATAGGGGGACATTATTCTGCTTTGAATTTGGCCTCAGCACTGATCTGCCCTATAGATTTCCATCCCGTCCCGTTCCCACTTGCCAGCAGCTCAGAGGGGTGCCCACAACCTCAGGTGGTACCTAATAAAACCACCTCTCATCTTGAGGCAGCTCATCACTGTTTGCAAGCCGGGGTAGAGACCCAAAATGTCCTCATCACGTCAGCTGGAGCGGAGGGATGGGGAGATCCTGGGCTCCTACTAGTCCTGCTGCTGCTGCTGGCCTCCCATGGGACTTTGAAACTGATGCCCAAGCCCTGAATCCAGGGGTCCTGCTACTCCATCCCTCGCTCGCCCTTTCCTCCTCCTCACACTGGGTCCCAGCAAAGGATGAAACCTGAGACTGGAGCAAATGGCATCTGAAGAGGCCCCTGTTCCGCAGCAGCGGGTCCCCAGGGAATGCAATGCCTTTGTCACTGGCTAATTTTGGCTCCTCTGCGCTCGGAAAACAATCCCAAGGCAGCTGGGAGGAAAGATGCTGGAGGCATGGCCCCACGGGGGCTTTTGCCTTATAAAGGTCTAAAGGGGCTGGTTTAAAGCCTCCTCCTTGGTTGCTGGGAGAACATCCGCAGTGCTGGTGTTTGGAGCTGGGGATGGGTCTTTGGAGGGTCCTTGGGGGTGGGTGCAGGGGGGTGTCTCCCATGTCTGCTGGGACGTGACTCGTGCAGGTCAGAGAAGGATGGGACCGCCACTGCCACGTCACCAGCACTGACCTTGCACCAGCCTGGGGGGCTGCTGTGTTGCCCCCAACCAGGGCACAGCTCCCCGCTTGGTGTCCTGACGTGGGGGGAAGCAGCCGGGGAAGGCGCCAGGGAAGGCGGCCGCTCATCCTCTGCTGTGCAGGACGGGGGGGGCTGTTTTCACTCCCCACCACACAGCTGCGTGTCCCTCTGCGAACATAATAGCCTCGGGATTAAAATACTGGGCATTGTCCCTGCTGGATTGCACGCTGGGAATTGTTTGCTCCTAAACTTGCCTCCAAAAATATCCCAGGGAACAGGTGATGCCTGCCCCTGCGGTCCTCTGCTGCGAGAAGCCTCCCTCCGTGGGGACGCTGGGTACGGGGCTTTGTAGGGGCAGGGGGGGGAGACAGCAGCTTTTTTGCTGCTTTTCAGGAATTTCATGCAGAAAGCATCAGGGCTTGTGAGAGCCTGAAAGTTGCTCGAGCATCCCAACGTGCTGCGCTGGGTGAGTCTGGATGGTCCCGCTCCCCAAAGAGGGGACTGCCCCACCCTTGGTGCCAACTGATCATCTGGCCTGATGCTGTAACCTCGCTTTGACTGTTTTACCCCGTCACCCCTCGGCAATGGGCCCTGTCCTGGCCTGGGGGTGGTTTTCCCCTCCTGCTCTGGCAGCTCTGGTGGGTCCAGGGAGACCCGTTGGCCGTGGGGACATCGCTCTGTGCTTGCGGCGTTGCAGTGTGTGTGCACCATCGTGCGTGGGGGTCAGCACCACATCAGCTCTCCCCGCCACCGCCCCTTCAGAGACCTTCTGAAATAAACCAAAAAAGGACAAGAAATAAAAGAGGAAAAAAAAAAAAAGAAAGAAAATAATTCAGGAGTTTTTCTGCAAAGAAAAAGCACTGCTGTGTTTCAGCTCACGGTTTCCACCTCCTTGCAGACTCAGGGCTTTTCCAGCATCTCTGCTGCAGGTTTCCATCGGAGAGGAGCAAGGCAGACGTGCCATGAAGAATACACCCTGTCTGCACGGGCATTGCCATGGCACCGCGGTCAGCCCGACCCGGCACATCCGCGTGCTCACACTCGGCGCCCGCCGAGCCAGGGCAATTCCCACGCAAACAGCCTGGGAATTCGCCAAATTGTGTGTGGGGGCGGGGGTCACGAGCGCAATATAAAACCGGGAGCGCTACCACGCCGGGGCGATGGGCGCGTGCCACCCCGCGTCCCAAGCGGTGCCGCAGGTGTGCGGGGCACGTCACGGGGCAGCGGGGCTCGCGGCGAACGTGCGCGCACAGGAGGGGATTTGTGCTATTTTTACTGACCACTTGCAGCCCGGCTGCGGTTTAATATGCGCCCTGCGCCGCCGGCCCCCCGGCAGAGTGCGGCTCTCCGGCGGCCGGGCATCACCGCCCTCCTGCACAGCCCCGAGGTAAGGCACTGCCCCCGCCCGCGACCCCCGGGGTGTGCTGGTGGTGGGCGACACAGGCGGGAGCGTGAGGCTGGCGGCACTTGCACGCGGCGACGTGGCAGAGAGGTGCCCCCGGCACGTGAATTTTCATCTGAATTTCTACCCCGCTCTGAGGTTGCTGGGATGTTTTCTCTGCTCTTGGAGAGAGGATCGGTGAGACCGCAGCGGGGGAAGTACGGCTGAAATACCCGGCTGGGTTCTGGAGCTGAGATCTGCTCGATTTTTCCAGAAATTGGTGAACGGGATGGTTTTTGGGGAACGTTTGCCCGTGTTTCCTAGCCTGGCCGCTCACAGTCACTCGTGTGACCAGGGAGGTGAGGTTGGAGGGTGCGAGCAGAGTGTGCGTGGCATCGCGTCAGCTGGGCGTGCATTCCTGGTATGTCTCTGTCCCCCTGGGATTGACCGTGTTTGGATTTACGGACTCATTTCTTCTAAGGATTTCCACGATCCAACAGTTTAATAAGCTTTTTAAGCTTTTTCACGCTGGAGGCAGTGCAGAATTAGCTTGCCCAGATCCTCTCATTCCCGTCAGAGAGCAAAGTTCCTTCTGGATGCTCCAGATCCAGCTGGAGCCCAAAAGTCCGTGCATGAGATTGCTGGGGACATCTCACTGGCAGAGCTGAATCTCAGCTGTCCTCCAGGAAGACAATTTAGAAATATCTAGCCCTAAAAATTGATTGACCTTGGTAGAGGTCATCAGCCCGAGGTGCGGTGTGGGTCTCACTTTCTAGAGACGCCGGGCTTTGTTCCGGCGGGAAAGGCAGGAGACGCCGAGAGGCTTTGCCCAGCCCTTGCTCGCCTCCAGAAAGCCAAAGGCTATTCTGCCTCCTCCCAAATAAATCATGGGGGAGCAGCTGGGACCCGACCCGCTCAATGCACCAGTGTCAGGCAAGAGGAGTTGCCTTCCCTGCATGTCCTCTGGAATGTTTGTTGTATCACTGAAAACCTCCAAAAAGGCGTGAAACTGGCGGCTCTGGCTGCATCTGAATGATGCGGATTTGGGAGAAAAAAATTCCCATTCCTGGGATATTTTTTCTTGTTAATCCAGGGATAGGGCAGGCTGTGGGGGAGATGAT